CCGTTTGCGCATAGGCCCGAGGCACGTGGGAAACTGCTTTTGTGCGAGGTCCTATGCTCTGAGTGACCTCGTCTCTGGCGTTAGGAGGGCTTCGGGCAGCTGGGACCACTACAAGCCTAATGGCAAAAGTTCCTCCGTAAATCGTGGTCAAAGGTTAAATGCCTGATTAAGTTGTAGTTAATGCGTGTTTAATGCGTGACAGGTGCACAGTAGGAAATGACTTGAAGCCGCTTGTAATTATTTTATTGAACCAAAAATATACCTGAAAAGCATAAGGAAAGAACAAAAATCGACCAAAATAAACTCCTATCGGTCAGCAAAGGATGCGTGTAGACCAATGACAGTACTAGAACAAATCCTATTGGTTGAGATAATCGAGGAAATGCTTGGATAGGCGGAACTTCGACCTCCTGAAAATGTGGAAGTAGGTTTTATTATTAATCACAGACAAAAGCAGCCTTACAAGAAAGCCCTACCCAATACTCACATCAAATAAGCCCCGGAGTGGCGGTGCCAATTATTAAAGGCATGTGATCGTGCTGGTGACTGCACTTTTTTTAAAATAAATGTTGCGGATTGTATCGTTGAGCCAGAATATACAGCTACGTTACTAAGCCGACAAATGCGTATGTCTGGCGTGCGTCTGACCTTAGTTTCACCGGGTACGTTGCCAAATGTATCAGAATATTTTAAAACTTTGTTTAGAGTAATCAAACAAAGGGTTGCGCAACAGAAATACGCTAAGAAGAGGTCCTGAATGGGTGCATTTTTTTTATGGAGAAGCTATCGTGAACCGATTCCATAGACTTCTACAGATGCTTTCAGGCGGTAGCAATTGAAGGATTTAGTTGGTGTGGTTATCGCAGGGGGTTAAGTGAGCTAAACTCTAGCAACTACGATCTTCAGATCATGGTTCCTTAGGAGAGAAGAAGTCGGTGGAGGCCAGAATAGTAGGAATAGTTCATTCTGTATACAAAGGAATGGAAAATAGATGCAAATATATTTGATTTGGAGAGCATACGACCAGCCAGAAGAGCCAGGCGCGTCCAAGTGCTGGTTTGACAGCACCCAAGACGGTAAACAGAGAGAGCGCTCATTGGCTGGGTCGATCTTGAAGGTTTTTGGCCAGGCAGACAGCGGGAGAACAATTCACGCGTGCAGGGATAATATTCGTCGCCGGCTCAGAACGGCATCTATGAATCAACGGTGATTGGCTGATCCAGGCGTCGAGATTCGCAGTCGTGAAATTCTAGCGAAGTTCACTTTGACTCGAGCTAGTCACAACAGAAAACGCTCTTAAAACGGACTAATCGTTATTGCAGCAGGCCTGAGAAAAACGTACCTGATTCCCGATACATCTGCGAATAATTCATTTGGAATGGATATCTGAAGGCGCCTGTAAGCCGATACCTACGCGTTCGGCTCCGGAGGATCGAAGTTGAACTAACACAGAGGATACGACATACTCTGGCATATATCACAGGTTTCTCAGAATTGTTTACCAGTCCAAAGTGGTCATGCGCAGCAGGATGATGGAAAACAAAGACCTAGAGCTACCTAGGGTAGCAGATCACATCCCATGCCTAAACTGTCCTTGTAATCACACAGGTCGAACTGAACATGTGCTCAGATCGCATATGCATAAACATATGCCGGCTGTGAGATGGGCGACGCATTGTCGCAGGCTATTGCCCAAACCTACGAAAAGGGCCACGAGTTAAACTTTGCAGCCGTCATGATAATCACCCACACCAGAAACAAGACGAGCCGTTAATTGCTTGCAGCCTGGTCCGCGGATGGAAAATAAATCAATCGATGTATCGATTTGGCGTCCGGCACAGTCACCTCCAGACTTGCATCAGTGACAATTAATTGTCTTTCACCCCTATACTTGCTGCCTTGTTGCTGCTGCTGCTACTGCTGTTGCTGGTATTTCTGAGGATGCATGCCTGCACGACTTCGGAAACTGAGAACAGTAAACAAACCATTTCGGCCCTGGAGCGATCTTTTGTTTACTAACCTAATTTACTTACTAATCCGACGCCGACTGCATCAAATCTAGCGCACGTGCATTTCACTCGAGCAGGAAAACGCACACGTGGATACAGAGTTCTGACCACTGCCGTAGTTCTTTGCCGAACGCGCAACACATGATGGCGTCATCTTACTTCTTTACAAAACAAAATTAGTGCATACATATTTGTTGAGAAAATTGAACCTGCACTACCAGATGGAGAAAGGGGCACTGATCTTCTAAGGGATCGCGGGGAATGGATACTTAGCTGTCACAACCCGCGTCTGGTACTTTTAATTAACACGAACGGTGAATTAGCCGACCCGGGTTCCCAAAGCCCGTACGAGAGAAGAGCAGTCGGCCAGAGATTGAGAGAGAGGGCGCGTACTCAGACAAAACACTTTCCAGCAATTCACTCTTATCACGGCTGGGGAGTATTTATTCAGTCCGCTCCTCGAGCAGGCGTCAGTGTCATGGGACCAATCAGCTATGAGGAAAAATTGATAGCCACGGCGTGCTCTCATTACAGCGACGTAAGTTGCACTCGTAGGCCTTTCCGTAAGATGAGTAATCGTGGGAATGGGCGCCTTCCCAACAGTAGTCAGAAGGTCAAGGACGCAACAATCGTTCACCTCTTCCAGTTGAAACAGAACCGAAATATCCGCGCTAATCACACAGTAAGCTCATTGCTCAA